TTTATTTTATTTTTCTTACTTTTTTATTTTCTTTTTCTATTATCTCTTTTTTTCTTTTTTTATTTTATTTTTTTTCTTTTTGTATTTTTTGTATTCTAATTTTTATTTCTTTTTTTTCTATCTCTTTTTCTTAAAATGCGTGAAAAGTAAGGGCCGGCGCGGGGGCTCACGCCTGTCATCCTGGCACTCTGGGAGGCCGAGGCGGATCACTTGAGGTCAGGAGTTTGAGACCAGCCTGAGCCAGAGCGAGACCCTGTCTCTACTAAAAAAAAATAGAAAGAAATTAGCTGGACAACTAAAAATATATAGAAAAAATTAGCCTGGTGTGGTGGCGCATGCCTGTAGTCCCAGCCTCTCGGGAGGCTGAGGCAGGAGGATCGCTTGAGCCCAGGAGTCTGAGGTTGCTGTGAGCTAGGCTGACGCCACGGCACTCTAGCCTGGGCAACAGAGCGAGACTCTGTCTCAAAAAAAACAAAAAAAAAAAAAAAAAGACAGACCCCCACAGAGCAAAATGACATGGGTGGTCAAAAGCTGTACCCAAGATCCACCAAAAGACAATCAACAGCCTCCATCTGCTGCCAAACTTGAAATGTCCCTTGTCCAGACAAAAGCTACTAGTCCTGTTCAGCAAGCTTTGCTACTTGGAGGTGTCTAAAACCCTGCTAGTACCTCCCGACAGGGGACTCTGCCCTGGAAATGACCAGATGGCATCTCAGTGCCTTCCCGCCGCACAATTATCACTTTTTTTTTTTTGTCATGGCACCTAGGTTGCCAGTGTTAACCCAGCCGAAATGCATGTTGTCCACACAGATGTCAAAGTAGACAACTCAGTGCCAGCGCCCAGGGCCATCACACTTGAAGCTGTCCCCAAGCACAAGCCTTCCCCAGGGCTGCCAAGCACAGAAGGGTGGCCAGACAGCGCGCCCCACTCCGCTGCCCAGGCCACCCCATCGCAGAACGCCAGCGCGTCCACAAGCAGGTGGCTGGGCAAGACGCCCACTCGGGTCCCCTGCCCTGGATCTGCTGGTTACCCCCTAGACCTGCTCCCCACACCTGCCAGCGCTCTCGGAGGTACGGGGTGCGGGAGCTGGCCCTTTCCATATGGCAGGGCCGAGTGCTGCGGCCACACCGCCCTGCCACTCAGGTACCAGTGCCAGGACTGGGGGCTGCGCTGCGCCCCCCTCCCTTCCAGAGCGCCCTTCTCGCCGCTCCTGCGCTCACCCGACTCTGGCTTTAAACTGGGGTTGGGGGTTGCAAAACTAGGATCCCACTTCCTCTCACGGCCACTTCCAGTACCTGCGGGAACGAGGTGGCCGGAGACTCGGGCCAGACTGGGCGCCCGGGTCCCAGCAGACGAGCGTGAGTGTTCCAGGGGCCCGGAGGAGCCCATCCCACTCCGGCCACCCCCAAGTGCCCAGGACCGTCCCTCGCTGGCACCTGCCACCCGAAGCCGGCGCGCCGGCTGCCCAGCCGGCCCTGCCTCCCCCCCGCCCATCTGCCTCTTCCCACACCGCCGCACTGCTCCAACCGCACCACGCACACTGCCACCACCTGCCTCCACCTCGCACTGCCCGCCCACGCCACGCCGCTCCACCACCCACGCGCCGCGCTTTGCGGGAGAGCGGCGCCTTCCGGGACCGCGCCAGCCCCCTCTGGCTCCCGGGCGCCGGGCGCGCGTGCGCACTGGTAGTCCAGGGAGAAGGTGGCGCCCTGCTCCACGTCCTCGTGGAAGCACTGCCGGGCGCTGTCGGGCAGCTCGAAGGTGAGCTCGGCGCCCCGCGGCTGCCCGGCCCGGAGCAGCAGCAGCAGCAGCAGCGGGCAGCACGCGCAGCCGGGGCCGCGCATGGCCATGCTCCCGGTGCGGTCGCGCTTCCGGCGCTGCGCCCCGACTGGCCGCGCTGGGCGGGCGGTGCCGGCGCGTGCGGGCGGGGGACCGACGTGGCGCGAGCGCGCGGGCGGCGCTTCCGGAGGGCGGGACGCCGGCGCGCAGCCGCGCTCGGGGTGGCCGGGTCTCCGCCCCGCGCGTGCGCACTGGCTGGGGACGGGGACCGCGCTCCGGCAGGCGGGAGCCCGGACACGCCCCCCAGACGCTTGTCCCCAGCCCGCCTGGCCCCGGGGACACAGGCCACCCGGTGTCGCCACCTAAAAGGTAGCACATAGCACCTTTTAGTCCGGCTTCTTAAATCCCGCAAGATCATTTTTGCATGCACCCACGTTTAGCATGAGCCAATCGTTCATCCCTTCGTGTTGCTGAGTAAAATTCCATTGTCCACAAATGCATGAGTCTGCCTCTGGTCTCAGTAGTCTGTTCGCTCATCTATTTGTCCGTCTTTATGCCAACACTGTGTTGCCTTGGTTGCTGTGGCTTCATAATAAATCTGGAAATCATTTGCAAGTCCTCCAACTCTGCTCCTTTCCAGAGTTGCATTGGCCACTGTGGGTGGGTCCTTTGCATTTCGAAGTGAATTTTTGAATCGGTTTCTTTAATGTCTAGAAAAATACCTGCAGAAACAAACCTAACCATATGCACGGACAGCTGCTTTTTTGACACAGGTGCAAACTGACGACCCATTCATCAAATGGTGCCAGAAAAAAAATTGGATATCCGCATGCAAAGAAATGAACTTATATCCATCTATCACACCATAGATAGAAATTAACTCAAATGGACCCAAATTGACCTAGACATAAAACCTAAAGCTATAAGACTTCTAGAAGAAAACACAGCACAAAGTCTTGGTGGCCTTGGATTAGGCAAAGATTTATCAGCAAAGACGCCAAAAGTACAGGCTGTAGAAAAGCACAAGCTGATAAATTAGACCTCACAAAATTAAAGAGTTCTGCTCTTCAAAACCTCTGTTAAGAGGATGAAAAGACACGCTACAAAGTGGGATAAATCTTTGCAGAGCATGTACTGATTGAGAATGTGCCTGGGTTATATGGAAAGTTGTCAAAACTTAATAAATGAGAAAATAAATAGCATAATTGTTTAAATGAGCAAAAGATTTGAACAGGCACTTAGCCAAATAAGATACAAGGATGTCAAAAAAGCACATGAAGGCCGGGTGCGGTGGCTCACACCTGTCATCCTAGCACTCCAGGAGGCCGAGGTGGGAGGATCACTTGAGGTCAGGAGTTCCGAGACCAGCCTGAGCAAGAGCAAGACCCAGCAAGACCCCGTCTCTACCAAAAATAGAAATAATTAGCCGGGCATGGTGGCCATGCCTGTAGTCCAGCTACTCAGGAGGCTGAGGCAGGAGGATTGCTTGAGCCCAGGAGTTTGAGGTTGCTGTGAGCTAGGCTGATGCCACAGCACTCACTCTAGCCTGGGCAACAGAGTAAGACTCTGTCTCAAAAAAAAAAAAAAAAAACCCTTGTATATGAATGTTTGTAACAGCTTTATTTGTAAAATCCCTCACTGGGAACAACCCAGCTGCCCAATTTGGTAAACAAACTGTGGGGCAGCCAGGCAGGGGAGCCGTCCTCGGCAGTCCTTGGATGAACTGTGGACACGTGAAACCTCGTGGGTGGATCTCTACACCTGTGCCCTGTGAGAGGCGCTAGCCACGGACGAGCACATACTACACGACTGCACTTGTGCAAAACTCCAGGAAATGCAAACTGGTATGCAGTGACAAGAAGCAAATGAGTAGCTGCTGAGGACTGGGAGGAGGAGGGCGTGAGCAAATTTTCGGTGGCGATGAAAATGTTCATTATCTTGTTCGTGGTGACGGTTCACAGGTGCAAACATGTGTCGAAAGCGTCAGATTGTACATGTTAGGTATAATTTATTGTATGTCCATTACACCTCAATAAAGCCGTTTAAAATAAACACCACAGCGAGTAAGATGTGCAACGTTGGGGGATGGACATGCTTGAAGCTCTTACTCGGGGGGAGGGGGCATGGGCAATATAAGTAACCTTAAACTTGTACCCATATACACTAAAATAAAATAAAATAAATAAAAAGTAATACAATGAATCATTTTATGCCCAAAAAATCATAAACTGGGAAAATGGATAATTTATTGGAAAAACATAAGCTTCCAGATCGGACTGCAGACCGCAGCGGGAAACCTGAGCAGCTGGGCGAGGTGCCCGCAAGGACCCCTTACCGCCACTGTGCCTGACCGCTGACTCTTTACAGCTTCCTTCTCCCTTCTCCCGGGGATTACCCTAAAATCATGGTCAAGAAAAAAATAGCTTCTTGCTAGCCCACAGTCTATGATAAGACTAAAGCAAGAGTAAAAAATAAAATGTGAGGTGAGCCCCCTTGCATCAAAGAGGGACAATTCTCTGCCAGCTCTATTCTCTGCAGACCCCTCCCTCCGGGATCAGGCTGGACTTTGCCCGAGATCCCGTCCTCTCGGGGCTCTTCCCTTCTAATTCCGGACCGACCTTCCCTAGAGGTTTTGCTGGAAGCGCCTCAACGAATCGCTTTCCCAGATGTTGATTTTAGAAGAACCAACCTGAGAAATCCTATAACCGTTCAAGTGAACACGATTAGTATTTAACCACTTCCGTACGGCCTCCACCGGCCGCGACAGCCTGGCCCACAGCGGCACTCCGCAGTCCGCACGCGGTCTGTGCTGTGCATGGACGACGCGCGTCCGTCTTGCTCTTGTGTGACGAGGAAAGCTTGAGAGCACTGGAAGCTTGTTTTACTTACAGGCAGCTTTACTTGTGATGTAAAGTCAGAATGGGTAACATTATGTTTTCATGACGTTATGTTTAATGTCACAATTCTATTTGATAAATGAAAAATTAGGAAAAGTCACATGAAGGCTGTCGGCCTAAGTCGACACTCGGCTGTGCTCCTTCACGGCTGTCGGCTAAAGTCGCGTGCCGCGTTCATCTGTGGCTGTCGGCTATGGTCGGACACTCCTACCAAAGTGGTTAAACTCTGGAGTTCAGTACGTGATGGAAGACAGGGCTCTAGACCAAGATGCCTGAATTCCAATCCTTAGCAAGTCAGCGATTCTCGCTATGCCTCAGTTTCCTCATTTGCAAATGCAGATGCACATGCACACCTGCTTGTATGTATGGGAACACACACACACACACATAATCCCACCTGGCACAGACAGTCTCCACCAGCAGATCTACTTATATATTAAAAAATTAAATAAAACCAACCACTTGTAGTGAGTGCTCAGTCAAGAAACATCTCACTCCAAGCAAACTCCCAGAGAAAGTCTATACTCCAGTGGAGTATAAATGAGGCGTCACGCTCCAGCTCATTTCCTGGGCCAGAATAAACCAACATCAAGCCAGACAAAGAGCATGAAAAGGGAAAACCCCAAGCCAATCTCATTCATGAGTTCAAATGCCAAAAATCATAATCAAAATATTAGTCTTGGTTTTTTTGTTAGATTTTAAGACGTAAGCTATGAAATAAGGATCCAGTTTCACTTTTTTTTCATATCTAAACAGATTGTCCCAGCAACCACTGACTAATATGCAACGTGACCTCTACCACGCCTAACATTTCCATGTCTGGGAGGCCCTTCGTTCTGGTTCTGTGGGTCAGTTCACCTTTTACTGCGTTTTATCACACTGTTTAGTTATCATAACTTAAAAAATCTTTGTCTTCCGATGCCCATAATCCTCCCCAATCTTGTTGTTATTCCTCATTATCTTACCTATTTTCAGCTCTTTGCTCTCCATATGATTATAGAATCTTTGTCGTTCTTAATGAAAATCTCATGGGTATTTTCCTGGAATCACTTTAAGGAAAACAAGTCTTGCCAGAAGCCAGTAGCATCTCATGGGTGTGGAAAGGGTATCATCCTCATGGTAGCCAGCAAAATACATAAAACATATTAAAAAATATGTAAATGTAAAAAAGAAGAAAGGTCTAAATCTCCCATGCAGAAAATAAATACTTCAATGAGGGATTACAGTGGGGGGCGGATTGCTCGAGGTCAGGAGTTCGAAACCAGCCTGAGCAAGAGCGAGGCCCGTCTCTACTATAAATAGAAAAGAAATTAGTTGGCCAACTAAATATATAGAGAGAAGAAAAAATTAGCCGGGCATGGTGGCCATGCCTGTAGTCCCAGCTACTCTGGAGGCTGAGGCAGAGGATTGCTTGAGCCCAGGAGTTGAGGTTGCTGTGAGCTAGGCTGACGCCACGGCCACTCACTCTAAGCCTGGCACAAGAGTGAGACTCTGTCTTCAAAAAAAAAAAAAAAAATCAGCATATTATACAGACAATATTTCAGGTCAGTGAGTGACATAAGGACGTTTTTGATTTTAAGTAAATGAAAGACCAACTGCAACTAGATTAAACAGTGCATGAATGTGCTGCTTTGCCACAGGAGGTCCAAAGCAGGTGCGGGCCTCAGGCTCCCGTCCTCTCCGTTCCTTCTCCCGCCTGCCCTCCTCTGCTTTACTCTCGACTCCACTCTCCTCTGTCACGAGAAAGGTCGGCCAAGCCGAACGGCAAATAACAAATAGCCCGTGTACGTGGCAGAGTCCGGGGGGAAGACAGAGAAGTCTGGGCTCCGTCCGGGATGCACCCTTCCCTCCGTCTGGGCCTGGCATGGGTCACGCACCCGTCTCGCGGCAAAGGCCTTGAGCAGGCCCAGCCCAGGTGCGGACCGGCGTGTGCAGGAACCCTTGGACCAGTCGCCGGCCGGGAGACAGATCGCCATGCAACTCAGCACTGCTCCTGAGCCGGGACGGGGCCAGCTCCCTCGGGTCGAAAGGTCCCTTACAGATCTAGGGGGGATCCATGAGCAAAGTCGGACCTGGCAGGCAGGAGAAGAAGGAAGGAATCAAACCGTGCAGGCAACCAACAGTGCACACTGCGAGCAACCCACAGAGGATTAGAACTCCAACTAAATGTAGTGCACAATAAAACGGTAATTGAAGCCTTACCTCTCACCGAAGAAATCCTTCCTGCCCAGATCAGGAGATCCGTAACTGTGGGTCGATCGTGCCATGTGGACCTCGGCCAGCGGGGACAGTGGACTCTGGGGTGGTGGTGGTCCTGCGCCCCTCTCTCTAGAATGTGTGTCTGGACGGAGGCATGGTCAGCACCTCCACCTCGTCTGTTCTATCTTTCCTTCTCCTCTCCTCTTCCACTTCCCGAACCTCATGCGCAAGGTTTCCCTCTTCCCCAGCGGCGCCACTAGATTTGCACGCTGCGGTTTCAGAAGAACCTTCCACAGTCCGTCTGCCTTGAGGACCTTGCAGTTTAAACTACGACATTATAACTGCAGTGGCATGGTACTAAACCAGCATGAGAAACATGGCTTCCCGAGGCTGACGGACCTCGGAAAACCCGGCGGCCGAGGAGTCCAGGTGTGCGGACCGTCGGCTCTTTCACCCTGCGTTGGTTGCGCCGGTCGGCACCCGACCCTTCCCCGCTTTCTGGCCGTGCTGGTGGTTAGCGCCCCATCCCCCGACCAAATCGGAGTGTGGTCATGTGGTCACGCCTGCCCATCCTGCTTGTCCGCCTGCCTTCTGAGACTCGGACCTCCAGAGCACACACAGAGTCCTGCGGATTTCCATGCCGACCTTCCAGGTGCAAGAGGTGCCTTTACTTGCTTTACTTCTCCCAGTGATTTAAACTGATCCTCTATCCCCTTTTACAGACCCGGGAACCTCCACCAGTTGTTGTGGAACTTCTCCCCTCTCTGCTCTGTGAGGTCTGAACGGGTTCAGGGCGTTCAGCCTCGGGAAGCCCCATGATCCCATGCTCGTTATGACATGCCGCTGGCGGTTATTAATGTCGTTGTCTAAGCCCCACGGTTTCCTCCAAAGCAGGTAACTCCAGACGCCTTCCCGCCATGCCAGACCCCAAGCCCAGCCCGCCGAGCACCACGCAGTCCAGGTTTTCTCTCCTGGGAAGGGGCGACCTCCATTCGAGGGACATCAACATCCTAAAGTCCTTGTCCATCTTGGGAATTCACTCCCCTTGGCCGCAGGCCAGCCGCCATGGCCTCATCTCTTTCGTTTCTCCTCCCATCCTCCTCCCAAGTCCTTCCTCCGGGCGGCTCCCTTGTAATCCTGTCCTCAGAGGACCGGAAACGAGATCATCCGCCCTTTCCTAAAATCAGACATGGGGAACCGACATGCTGAAACTCGTCCCCCTTTTTTGTTTTTGTTACCTGAACCTCACCTCGGTGGTCTAGGGGGAGACCCAAAGGGTAAAAGGTGTGGAAACCAAGGGGGTCTGGTAGAGATTGTGAGCCAGCAGAGCACTGAGCGGGTTCTCTCGTGCGGGTGCCCTGCCTGAGCAGGAGAGCTACTGGAAACAGGCTTTATGGGACACTCACCAAACAACTCAGCAATAGGCCAGGAAGGACATGCAGTGACCGGGAGTTCCGCTAACTGCCCATGCAGGTGCAGCCTGGGGGGTCCTGAGTGGGCAGGACCCGAGTGGAAGAAAACAGCCCTCACACTTGGCAATGCACCTTCTCATTCACTGTGTGGGTGCGCATTTTTAAACCGAGAGACAGACCGTTAGACATGTCAATTAAAATGTAATTTCAAGGCTGGGCGCTATGGGCTCACCAGCCTGTCATCCCCGCACATCTGGAGGAGGCCGAGGCAGGAGGATCGCTCAAGGTCAGGAGTTCAAAAACCAGCCTGAGCAAAGACGACGAACCCATCTCTACTAGAAAATGAGAGAAGGAATTACCTGGACAACTAAAAATATATAGAAAAAATTAGCTGGGCGTGGTGGCAGGCACCTGTAATCCCAGCACCTGTGGAGGCCAAGGTGGGAAGGATCGCTTGAGGCCAGGAGGTTGGAAGAAGACTGGGCCAACACAGCAAGACCATTTCTAAAAAAAGGAAATTAATTACAAAATTAGCCAGGCATGGTGGCACCACGCTTGTGGTCCCCAGCTACTCGGGAGGCTGAGGCAGGAGGATCGCTTGAGCCCAGGAGTTGGAGGTTGCTGTGAGCTAGGCCTGACGCACGGCACTCACTCTAGCCCGGGCAACAGAGCAAGACTTTGTCTCAAAAAGAAAATGTAATTTCAAAAATTATGTATAGATGAAATATTGGACGTTTCCTAAAATGGATGTTACTAGGCAGTCATGCCAATGTCATCTTAAGGAAAAGGTGATGTATACGACTGAGATTTCACTGAGAAAAACTGGGGAATGCTATGGAAGGGTTGCAACGTGTCTTTTATTGACATATCAGGAACATCTAAAGACGGTTTCATGACACGCATTTCCATACGTCTGTGAGCCCGCCGTCAGCTGGAGCCCGGGGCACAGCGCACGGGGAGCCAGGTCAGCGGCACACGGCACGCAAGGGAGGAGGTCAGACGCCACCCGCATGCGCCGGGCACACTCCCGCTGGTGCAACCGTTCAGCCTGTGTGGCACCGGTTCAACGCTGAGGGCATCCGTTCACCTGGGGGCAACCGTTCACGCACCCTGGTGGCACCGTTCACCTGGGCCACCGTTCACCTGGAGCCGTCACCTAGGCGTTCACCACTGGGACCAGCTCCACGTTCCCCATCGTTAGTGGCCACCGTTCAACCTGGCGCACCATTCAC